AGACTTAAGAAAAGAGCCTCGAACAATTCTGGGAAAATTTGAATCTTTCACTTTCCCTGACCTTTATTGCCACGTGATATAGCTTTAAACTTAAAAAGCTTGTTCTTTTTTCAACCTCCCAAAAAAACACTTTTCTAAAGTTCAAGAAAACAAAAAACAGAAGTTTAAAGACTACTTCATTCTAGGGTGTTTAAAATTAAAAATTTTTAATCCTCGTGCTCTAACCTTCATTAAAGATCTAACGAGCATTCAATTGAAAAAGAGGATCGACCAAGATTGGTGAGCCCAATAATTGAAGAGCCACCATCTTGAGGGGCACGTTAAGGATCGTAAATTGAAAAAAATCAAAGCCCGAGCTAATAAGATTTATAAGATATATACCTGAGGTACTAATTTCTTTATTAATTAGTTTTGAGATAAAACCCCACGAATATAATATTATACTAGAAATGGAGGGATATATATAAATTGGGAAAACTTGCCTTTCCTTGAGCTGAAGTAAACCAGAAGTAGATGAAAATGAAGGAGAACTCAAGAAGAATTCCAAAACCATTAATGGTGACAACAAGGAAGTTTTCCCAGCCATTGCTTACAACTGGTAGGCCATACCAAGTGTAAAGAAGACAATTCATTAGGGCAAGAATGTAAGGAACACATGAAAACTCCTCTGTGCTCTTCTTCTTTATCACCCTCCAAAAAGTCAATCTACCAATATATTCACAAAAATTTCAGACCAAAAAAACCGAAAACAAAACAAAGATCAGCTTGTCTACCTAAGAAGTTGTTTTAAAACGATCCGTTGTTTGTTTTCGTTTTCGAAACCATGATTCAACGACGACTTATAAAGTTAATGTTATTGCGTAGGTCAAAATCACTTTTATCTGTAGTTCATATATTTTCTCAAACGTTCACTTATCCTACCCAAAAAGAGAAGTTTTAAATTCTATTTTAATTCATCAATTTTCATTTAAATTCTATCGTAAAATTTCTAAAATTTCTATTTCAATCTCAAACAAATTTGTAAGGAAAAGCTATTTTAGTTGTTATACCGCCTTTAACTTTAACAAAAATTTTGAATATGGTTTTAAAGACCGAAACCTAACTCATTAGATGTGCGTGTGACTTCAAAATAGTTCTATTAAATGAATATAAAAGGTAAGGTCACTTCAATTGTTTTTATCAAACAATTTATGTAAAAGATGGGATAATAAGGTCTAAAATGATTTCTTTTATATAGTTTAAAGGGATTATAATAGAATAGACTTACAAAAGAGTTTGGAAAGTAAAATAAAATTAAACAATAACCCAATTATATTTCTCTATAAAATTTTGTTCCAAACAATAGAGTTGGGAAGATTTTATTATTACATAGGAACAGCATAAAGTATCAAAGAAGCAGCATTTCCTGCAGAGAAAGAAACCCAAAAACAAAAACAAAAACAAAAACAGAAATGCTTTAGGAAGAAGAAAGAAAAAAAGACCTTTATGATCTCTTCATTCATAACTTGAGCATAAAAATTGAAAAGAAAAAAGAAGTGGAAATTACCTATGACCCCAACAGCCATGCGAATGCTATGGAGAGATCCCATGAT